AGCTGCTGCTGCCCCCTGCTGATGGAATCAGGACATCGCAGCCTCCGTGCACTTCTGAGGCCGCACAGCTCAAGGCTCCACTTTGCATCCCAGGCGCACAGGAGGTGAGTCCGTCACATTTCCTCTGTCCTTTATCGAGATGGCCACCGCCAGGCATTGCATCAGTGGAGGCATAAACAACCAGGCCCACGTGAACAACGGAGAAACGAACAGCAAAGGTCATTACCATGAGAAGGCAGCACACCAGGAGGCAGATGAGACACAGAGCAACGTAGGAAACTGTCAGACGCCAAGGCTGCATTACAGATCACCCTAAGGGGGATTCACCAGCATCCCGGTCGCTGTTAGTACGGGCTGGTGTTTACTGAGTTCTACTCCTTGTCAGGCGCTGTTCTAGACCCCTTCTGGGAGTTAACTCGGCTGATCCGTGCAGCACCCACAGGAGCAGGGATGACAAAACAGAACTTAAGAAGCAAAGCAGGATTTGAACCCGGACCTTTGAACTCAGACCGAAAGTCTGAGTCCCGGCCCTTGCAAATTTCAGTTTTAAAATCAATACTCCTTACTCATTGAGTTCACACATCAGCGGTCCTCATCCATGGATGATTTTGGCCGCCCGGGGACATTTGGCAATATCTGCAGGCATTTGGGGTTGTCACAACGAGGGAGATGATTCTGGCATCTAGTGGGTAAAGGCCAAAGATGCTACCACACACCTATAATGCCCAGCACAGCCCCCCACAACACTGAATTATCCTCCAAAATGTCAATAGTGCCAAGGTGAAGAAGCCCTCATCAAAATACATAAAATTCCCCCAAATCTACTAGTCCTCTCTTTTGCATTGCCCCCCTGACATGAGGGCATTAGAGCAAATCTGCTTTATTGCATGAAACATATTCTTCTCGAGGCTTCATGCTGAATAACTCTCAAGAGGTTTTCCCCACTAATTTCCCCTAAAGCCTCTTATTTATCCAAAGGAGTTGTTTTGCACCCAACAATCCTGCTCATAATCCACCCTACAAGCGACGGGGGCTCTGAGGAGCAGCCCAAGCAGAGGAGAACCCCCTGGAGCAATGGTGGAAGGACTCGGCCACACTGGGCACGATCGGCCCGGGCACGTGCGTGGAGTATTGCAGCTGTCTGTGGTACCAAGCCGCAGCTTGGGCGCACGCTGTGTGTCAGGGCTGTCAGGAAGCATTCAACCCCAGGATGATGGAACAGTCCCTGGGGACAACTTGTCAGCAGCTGCCTCCCCAAAACCCTCGCTTCCAAATCAGCCCAAACAGCCCAGTCCCCGGCTTTGGGGAGCAGTGCTATTTAACCCCTCCAATTCCACAGAGCCTATGAGTCTGTGGGCTCTGGAGGTTCTACAGATCTGGAGCTGATGTACGAGGGGGTGGGAGGCAGCAGAGGACCCAGGCCACAGGCTGTCCCCACCTGAATGGCCATGGCCAACAAGCCTGTTGCCTGCACAAGAATTGGTACCCAAGAATCAGTACTTGTAGAATGAATAAATGAATGACCAGAAAGGTAAACTCTACAAGACTCCTTCCTTCATTCAGCAATATTTACCAAGTATCTCACCAGGCTGGGCACCATTAGAGATCTTGGGAGAACAAAAGAGACCAAGTCCCTGACCTCATGAAGCTTACCTCCTAGTGGAGGGAGACAGATACTATACAAATAACTAGTACAGGATATAATAGCGGGTAGTGGGGAGTGCTATGAAGAAAGTAAAATAAGGCAAAGCGATTGAGACCAACAGATTGGGAGTGATTCTTTAAATTGGGTGCTTGGGAGGGCCTCTCCAAGGAGATGACATTTGAACAAGGATCTGAAGGTTTGAGGGAAAGAGTCATGCAGCCACATCGAGAATAGTAACTGCAAAGACCCTGTGTTAGGAAGGGTCTTGGGGAGTTTGAGAAACAGTAAAACCGAGAAAATGGATAAAGGTGGGCCCTAGCATGACCTAAGAGCAGAGGTTCTCAAACAATAGCATGCATCAAAATCACCAAAAAGGCTTATGAAAACAGACTGTGGTTCCTACCCCCAGTGTTCAGGTGGCTTGGGTGGGGCCTGGGAATGAGCATTTCCAGCAAGTCCCTGTTGGGGGGCGGGGCTGATGTTGCTAGTCCGGGAACCACAGCAAAGAGTATTTTTTCTTCGTGCAACAAATCGTTTCCCGTTCAACACTTACCACAAGCAGGCGCAGATCATTTGAGAGTCAGGGGATTTCACACAAAATCCAGATTCCGGCCTCCTCCAGAAAACAGGCCTGCAACACTGGCCAGCACTTCCACGGGACCACAGTCTGACAGGGTCGCCTGGGACTCTTGTCACCCTCACTTCGTAGCCCCAAACACCAGCCCAGGGCCTGGCCTAGGGCAGGCACTCAAGGAAAGCTTATTAATGAAACTGGGAAGATTGCACCGGGAAATGGAAAAAGACATCAGTCCCAAGAACAGGACCTGAGGTCCAATCTGACTCCAGCTGACATGTCGCAGGACCTTGGGCTGCCCATGGACCTCATATTCTTGCCTGTTGAACTGAAGTCATGACAGTTTCCACTTCTCAGAGTCGTTGCAGCCAACAAGAGAGAGGATGTGAAGTGTTTAGCACATGCCTGGCATATGAGGCTCAATTGACATGACCTATTACTGCAAGGAACTCAATAAATTTATTCTCTAGGATGGAAGGAAGTGTGAGAGACAGCGGAGGAAGGACAGGTTCCTGTCAACACCACGGGCTTGACAATCTCCTTCTGTTCAATCCCTAGTTCCGCCATTCACTAGCTTTGTGACTCTGGGTGTTAGCCTTTTCCTCATTTGGGCCTCAGTTTCCCCATCTATCAAACAGGGATGACACAAGCCTCACGGGGTTATTATGAATATCACATACGAACATGAAAATTAAATTAATTAAGCCTTTCCGGTGCTCAGGATGAGGCCAGTATTCATAATGTGCTCTACATATGCCAGCCTTAGCCACTACAGCAGCTCAGGGAGGGGTCAGACTAGAATTTCTCAAGGGCCCTCATGGCTCCAAAACTCTCTGACCTCTTTACAACCAGGGACGGTCAGGCAGCTGTCATTAGTCATTAAGAATATATAGAAGGCCCTTGGGATTGTGGAGTAAGCAGGGTAGAATTCATTATACACAGCTTAGCACCTCACCGGAAAAATCCAAAATGCTGACCCAAATCACAGAGTGGCAACGAGAGGGAGAATGGATGTGGTGCAGAGGACAACATCCTATGAGGGAGGTGCCATTACCCCCTTGGAGGAAATGGGGGCTCCAGAAGGCTCCCCTCAGATGTAGCTCAGTGTCTCAGCTCCATGCAGCTGCCTCAGGAGGGGACTCACTCAAGCGGTCCTCGAAGGGATTAGCGGGGTGACGATGGACAGGACAGCCTGAAGGGGGAGCAGGAAGACCAGGCAGAGGCATTCTGACTCACCGAGGCCTTGAGGTGCCTGATTCAGCTGTGCATGATGTCCTCAAAAAAGAAAAGCAGGTAAAAAGAACCAAGGAGAGGCAGAGAGGCCTCAACCATAATACCAGGAATGATTCCTAAGGAAAGAAAATTCCAGGCAACTTGCATTGTTTCACTCCAGAATCGGGACTGAAAAGTTCTTAGCAATTTGATGAGTGTGCGTGTGTTCACTGCCCTGCACGTGGCTGGCAGCCACACGAAGTCACAGAGCAGCTGAGAGAAATGCCTGGTGAAGGAGCGTTTCGTGATGGGAACCCCGGGCACAGGAACCTTCGCCCAGGGCCTACTCTTCCCTCTCAGCGCCAGCCACCCTAGAGGGGGTCAGCAGGAGTGACCTCGGGGGTGCATCTGGCCATGATGTCATCACCGTGAAGGTGATAAGCCAAATCTGTCCAGATAAATTTCTTCTTTCATCCATTCGACAATCACTGTTGAGAACCTACTGTGCCCCGGGACCCTACATCTTTCCCCTCTTGTACTCCTCAGGACAACCCCAGAGGCGGGTTCTGCTGGCCGATCTTCAAATATGAGCAAAGAGGCTCAGGGTGAGGCGACGCGCCAGGCCAGGAAGACGGTGGGGATTTCAGCCTGGTTTTCTGACCGCCCAGCAAGAGGGACCTCCCTGGGAAGTGGGCGGAGATGGGCGCAGCCTTCCTGAGCGACAGGCAAAGTCCTGGAGGCCCGCTTTTCATTCAGTAGGGCGGGGGGCGAGGGGGGGGGGTGTCACACGTTCTCCATTGTACCAGCGAGGAAGTGGGCTCAGCGGAAAGGAGGACTTCACATTCCGGAGAGCAACCCTCGCCCGGGGCAAAGTTTACTTGCTCTCCCTCTCGTTCACAGACATCACTATAAACACGGTCCTATTTTAGATCTTACAGCGCATAATGTCGTTGGGCTTTTTAAAAAATCGGACTTCCCTGCGGGATGTGGGGCAAGAACCGGATTTCTTGATGCACCACGCGGCTTTGCTCCCAGGTGCCCGCGAACTTGAGCCACAAGACTCTCTGCGAAGCGTAACCTGCTCACAGCTCCGTGTCGCCAACTGAGGCCTCGTTACTGCGCAGGCGCCGCTGCAAACTCCCGCGCGCCCGACCGGCCCCTCGTGGGCGAACTCACTTCCGAACCGGCGGGGGGGAGCGGCGAATCCCCCTTCCACCCGCAGATGGTCCATGCCAACTTCTGGCCAATCAGAAAGCTTCTCTCATCACTGCTTCTGGCTACGGCGACTGGAGCTTCATTCCCGCGAACTTTCCGGCGGCCCGGGGGCGGGAGTAGCAATGATTGACATCTCTCGTAACCATTCGTCAAGCGGGATGAGCTTGAAGCGCAAATACCACTAAGAACTGTCCGTCAAGGGAGGCCTGTTAGCCCCGCCCCCTCCTCCCATTGGCCTCCGAGAGCCTTCGGGGCGGGAGCTTTTGGTGGCAGCCAATCGCGGGTCAGCGGGGAGGAGGAGGAGGCGGGGCAGGCGGGCGCAGGGTGAGCGGGAGCCCCTCTGGCACTGTGTTTGGGTTGGGGCTGCAGGCTTGCGGGGTCACACTTCTCGGTCCCACTGCCGAGGCTGGGCTGGGAACGGGAGCCGCGTCGCCTCGCTCGCACCTCCAAGGCCGTCTTCTGAGGCCTTGAGCCGAGCCCCATCTGGCGCTCCTCCGCGCCCCCGCCCCAGTCCTAGCGCCCGATAGCCGCCCCTAGCCCAGCCCAGCAGGTCCGGGCCCCATTGTCCCTGTTCCCACCGCGGCCACAGGCCCCTTGAGCCTCTCCTCTCCCCACTTACCTTCCCAGGCAAGCCCCCAACGCCTCTAGCAGCCGCTCTTCCCCTCTCTCGTCCGCGGAGGTGGTTGGTTACCATGGTGAAGCTGGCGGCCAAATGCATCCTGGCAGGTGAGTTTGAAATTTACAGTCTCCGGAGTCCAGAGACTTCGTAAGTTATTGAGAGCTTTTGTTCTCCTAAATTGCCTACCCTCTTTCCCTTTTTCGTCTCTTCCAAAAGCGAGTTAATGTAATTACTGACAGAGTAAACTCCATTAGGGTGGGAGAATTATCTTCCAGAGCACATTTGTAGCTCCCCCTGACGTCCCCACTCCCTGCCATACTCCGAGACCACCTTCACCAGTTTTTGAGCTGTGTTCAGGAGGAATAGACTCGTTAAAAAAAAAAAAAAAAGTCAGGCTAAACACACCATAAGTGTTTCATGTAAATCATGTGCTGTATCCCAAAGTCAGGTATCACTGACTTTGGAAGGCTTTACTTGTGGGATTTTTTTTTTCCTGACCCCACCCCCTCTGATAACAGGGATTGGAGACAGTAATGTACAGTTGGCCAGAGTTTGCGACAGGCCCATGTGTCGTTGTCTTTAAGAGCCAGAGTTACTGTGCCGCCTCACACTCAGGAGGACATGAATATTGAATCCCCCAAAGGCAGTAATCTTCGTTTTGTTGACTCCTATATCTCAAGCATCCTGAACAGTATCTGGAACCCAAGAGGTGCTCAGTAACTATGTGTGGAATGCATGACAATGTGGCATTCACATTTGTGGTGTTCCCCTTATTTGCACGTTTAGGAAAATATTTGCCTGAGTTTTGACCTGGGGCCCCTGAACATAGATGTACTTTATTGAGTCCTTAGTGCATATGCCAGTCATGGGTACTTCATTCAGTCCCCTCACCATAGCACACTGGAATAGGTGCTGTATTGTTCTGCTCTACTGAGGCACTCTTGTCCAAGGTCACCCCCCCACCCAGCGAAGGAAAGTCATAGGCAGGATTTCAGCCCCCTGACCTGCCCAACTCCAAAACTCTTCACTTCTGTTACCGTTGAACCCTGCGCTCTCTCCAGGGTTCCCTGACCAGTTCAGGAAAGAAATGGTAAGAAACTATATAGAGGAAAAAGAGATGCCTTTTTGGCTTCCTCTCTTCCAGACTGAAACTGATGCTATTTTTAATGGCTTTTCTAATTTGAAAATAAAAGGGCCACACAGAAAGATGACTGACAATAGTAACTCAGATCATACTGGAGCAAAAAAAAAAAAAAAAAAATCAGTCGTTCTCAGGAGAGGTCTCCAGTTTCCAGAGCCCAGGGAAGGTAGTATTGTGTAACAAAAGTAATCCAGCTGTTCCTCTGATCGGCTCTGTCATCTTGGACACAGCACTTCTCTGAGCCTCAGTTTCCTTGCAGATAAGGTGAGAACGTTTTTTATTTTCTGAAGTTGTACATTTTCTTATGTGCGCTTCTCTCTCTAACTGTTCTTTCTCTTATTCTTCTTTCTCTTATCTCTTTCTCTTATCTCTTAATTCAACTTCCATCATGGGACTCACTCACTGAGCACCTTCTATGTGCCAACACTGTACAGGAACCCTCAACACAGGTATCTCAGTGAATCCTCACAAGAACCCTCTTGGATCGGTATTGCTGTCATCCTCATTTACAGCTGGGGCACCTGAGGCCCAGAGAGGTTAAGACACTAGCCCTGGGTCGCACAGCTGGATGCAGCAGAGCTGGCATCCAGACCCGGGTGATCTGATTTCCAGGGCTTTGTTTTTAGCCCCCCAGCTCTACTCGCCTCAAGCCTCAAGTGTAGACTCTTTGCCCCTCTTTATGCGCACTCCCTCAGGCACTGTTTCACCTGATTTCAGCCACTGCCTGACTAAGTGATTCTTTTTTTTTTTTAAAGATTTTATTTATTTAATTGACAGAGAGAGAGAGAGACAGAGAGAGAGGGAACACAAGCGGGGGGAGTGGGAGAGGGAGAAGCAGGCTCCGCGCTGAGCAGGGAGCCCGATGCGGGGCTCAATCCCAGGACCCTGGGATCGTGACCTGAGCCGAAGGCAGTCGCTTAGCCAACTGAGCCACCCAGGTGCCCCTTTTTTTTTTTTTTTTTTAATTTAAAGATGATTAAGTGATTCTTGAACTCCAGTCTAGTCCTCAACCGCAGCCTCCTTTCAGGGCCTTGAGGGCATTTCCTCTTGGAGGTTTCCAGAAACCAAAAAGACCTCAGCACAATGAATCAGGTTCCCACCCCCCCACCACCGCCCACCAAATTCTCGTTCTCCACACCACCACCACCCCCGCATACACTCCCCTCACTGGTTTTATTTTTCCTTTCTCTTCCCAGGCCTACTGTTTAAATTGAGTTTATCTGTCTTTTTTTCTCTCCTATAACTGGTCATCGAGGGACTTGATATTCAATTCAAGTGCTCATTCATTGAACAGATATTTATTGAGCACCTGCTCTGTGTGAGTCACCGTGCAAGGTATAACGGGAATACAGGGATGAACCAGGCCAGCCCCTACACTCGTGGCAGTGCTGAGATTTGCAGAATAATTTATAATCGAACGCAAACACGAATAGAATGCCCCTTTGTGTGCCAGATACCAGAGAAATGCCTCAAGGCATAGCTGCTAATTGTTCTGGCTCAGACGAGGAGATGAGGAGGGACTACACCCTTGGCATTTATCTGTTTTATTTACTTAAAAATCACTTAAATATAACTTCAGAAATGTCAGGTACTGCACATATTAGCTCATTAAATCCTCCTAACAAATTCTACGAGACAGGTGCTATTCTTCCCTTCGTGCAGAAGTGGTCACTGAGGCTCAGAGGGAGATCGCTGACTCAAGGTCACATAGCTAGTAAGTGGCACAGCTGGGGTGTGCCCTAAGTACCACAGTTTACTCCCCCTTGATGGAAGTGGGGATGATAATAGTGCCTCGCCAGAAGGTGGCTCCGACATCAAGTCTAAGGCTACCAGCAGTGAGCCTCCCAGGTAAAGGCAAGAGGGAGGGATGGCCTTCAGAGGCAGTGGCGAAAGGACACGGAGCTTTGCCGGGCAGAGAATTTGGACTTGGGCGGGGAGACCTGGAAGGAAGTTACCTTTGAGGGATTCTCAAAGGGCAAGAGAAGTAGGAGTGTAGGGTCCAGATTCGGTGTAAGGGATAGTCAGAGAGCTATTTGGAGGTGGGTTCAGGGTTGACAGTAGAGAGGGGTACACGGTAGAAGGTATCTTCTTCATGAGGGCGTGACAGGATCAAACACTATCTTGGAAAGGTCCATCTATTGGTGCCGACAGCGGGGGTAGAACAAAGAGAAAAATGAAAAGCAGAGAGGGGCAGGTGGGGAGTCCTTCAGGCAAGACCCAGTCAAGAAAACAGAAAATAACATTAGGCATTTTATTACACGGAATTGGTTCAACGGTTCCATTTCCCCAAATGGAGGAGAAATGGAAAAGCAAGAAGAAAACATTGAGATGACACAGAAGTGGTAGATAGAGGTTGGGTTATCCGAGGCTTGAGGAAGAAGCCCACAGAGCTGGGATCCAGATTCCTGAGGAGGGGGCACAGCTCTGCTGGGATGGGACCTCAAGAATTCAGTCACCCACCACGTGATGCCACAGATCACTAGGCCCCATTCCCCACTGGCAGGGAGCTGGGCCCCATGTTCAGGTGAGACATGACCAAATCCATTCCAGACCATGCTGAGGGTCTGGGTTTTGAGACCATTCTTGCTACCAGTGCAACAGAAGTCAGGGTCCAGGCAAAAAAGCAGAACGTGCATTAGGTACTACACCGGTGAGAATTCATGCAGGATGTCCATCAAACAGGTACTGGAGGCCTGGAAGGATGAAGGGACATCAAAAGCTCAGGAGGGCCCTGGGGAGCCGCGATGCAGATCTCTGAGAAGGGGGCACTGCCCCGCGATGCTGGCATCTCTGAGAGGGAATAATAAAAATACAAATACAAAATATCTGGGAATACAAAACAAACAAACTGGAGAGAAGTTACGACCTACTGCTGGGGTGAAGGCCATTGCCAGGGTACTGCTAAGGGACACAGCAGGCAGGTGGGAAAGGGGCAAGCCCATCCCCCTCTCCCAGCTGCCAGTCTTTTTCTAGAACTCGCACTGGCCGAGCCGGACAGGAAGCCCCTGGCAAAGGAGACGCATGTTTGCAGAGTCCCTGCTCCCGCATCACAAGGCAGGGCACAGAGCCCAGGTTGAGGTGTGAGGTAACTCGTGCAGTGTCAGCAGTGACAACAAAGGCCATGGGGGCTTGAGACTCAGCAAAGGACATCAGGAGTGGGGAGGAGAGCGCAGGGCGTGGGAGGAGTGGGGACATGCGCGGTCAGAGGTGACTGGGTACAGCTGGGAGGTGTGGGCAAATGGAGATGGAAGCAGAACCAGTGAGATGGGTGAGCAAGAGCACTTGGGACCTGGGGGTGCGACACGAGCCTGGCTGTCAACAAATAGATTGGGTGAAGGCCCAACATTCTAGCGGAACCATCCACAGGTTGTTGGAGATATAGACAAAACACGGGAGAGAGATCCTGACCCAAGAGGTGACAGGGGAAAGAGAGTAAACGGGACAGCAACTGGGAGCAGAGGGCCAAGGAGAGACCCACAGGAGTGCCCACATTTTGGAGGTGGGAGAACCAGACCAGTGCCAGGACACCAGGGCCACGGAGCCAAGGGGCTCGGGAAGGAGGGGGCTGCTTTGGGCTGACTCATCCTTCAGAGATGTCAAGGAGCAAGAGAACTGAGAAAAAGCCATTGGATTTGGCAATTAGGAGGTCACAGGTGACCTTGCATCGTGCCTTTGCAGGCGTCACCGCCTCTGTCCAGCAGTGCCCCTCCCTGCCGTCACCACAGGCTCAGCCCCGCCCCGGGGGAGTCTGCCTCGCTGATGAAACTGCTCCTTCGTTTCTTTCCGCGATGCACCCGTAGACGCTTTGGTTCTCAGCGTGTGCTATTTGCCTTTGCACTTGTCATCGTGTTGCTCTGCAAATGTGTTTATCAGTATTTCCCTTCCCTCTGCTGGATCCCTCCTCAGCCGGCACACGAGGCTTTCCGTAAGCGTGGGTGACTCTGACTGATAGTCGGAAGAAAGGTTTATGAAATTAACTAGAACAAATAAATCTGTGGGGAATTTCACGAGCAGGAAGAGCCAATTTCCAACTGGATTCGGAAGCAAAATTGGAGTCCGGGGGGTGGATGCAGTCAGAGCCCAAGAAGGAGAGTGATACACTCTGTTTGTTTGGAGATGGATGGGTACCCGGCCACAGACCAGCCTGCGGTCGCCCCTGATGGCAGGCGAGGCTGCGGTGATGGAGGCCTGGGGGGCAGTGTTAGAGATGGGTCAGGAGTGTCCCCGAGCTCTAGGAGAGGAGTGGGGTCTGGCGGGGAGAGTGAGATGTTGGAATTCTGGGCCAGTTACCCAGCTTTCTCTGAGCCTCGGACTCTTCATCTGCCAAATGAGGTTAATGAGGGTGATGGTAGGGGGTAGGGGCTGGGAAGGAGGGAATCTCGTGTGTGATTCCCTTCTAAGTCATGACGGTAAATAGAAAAGCAAGATTGAATAGCTCACTCAGTCCCGGGGGAGTTCACAGGAAATGAAATGCCACAAGTAGTCAAGTAATTGTCTCTCAAGAGAAAATTACAGGTGGGAAAAGTCAAAACTGAAAAGTGAACAGAGCAACAGGCTGTGGAGAAGTCGAGTGAAGAGGCGCATGGGGGCCGACTGTAAGCAGCAAAGGTGAGGTGATCACACCAAAGGATTCAAGTCAGAGGCCCTTGAGCGCAGTGGCGGTTTTGCTGAGGGGCCAGGGGGTGAGAGAGCAGAAAACAGGTGTTCTGAAGGTGCGTCCGTGTCAGACCCATGGCCCAGAAGATCTTGCAAATGAGAACAGCGTGGAGTCACAGGAAGCCGAGCAGAGCCATCCATGGGGAAGGGGAGGGGTGGTGCACACAGAAGGATTAGGGGTGGGCATGGAGAGCCTGCAGCATCCTTGGGGGCAGGGGAGGACCTCCAGATTAAATCGCTCCCGACAGTCTTGCGAAAGGTCCAGATCTCAGACTGAAACTATGCCATAAACCTTTAGTTTGGAGATACCAATTTATGGGGCTGTGGACTCATGAAGGAAGGCCAGGGAGATAAACCCCCGTAGGTATAAGGCGAGCTGGAGGAAACGGCGGCCGTTGCGGATAGACGTGGAGAGGCCCCTGGGAAGATGGATCCGCAGTGGTCTCAGGCACAGGGAAGGCGGGGGCAGAACGTTATCTTTTGGAAATGGATTTCAGGTTGATGAATTTAGCACCTGATCTCTTGCTTCCTGTAAATACAGAAGCCCTCCCAACTTCCACCCTGCCCTGTCCTAAAAGAAGCGTGCAGGGACCCAAGTATGGAAGCTCTAAACCCGAATTGGTTGTTAGGCAGGTGAGCCCCATAAGACTGAGCCTGGTCACACCCCTTTACCTTCAAGACTTCAAAGTAAATTCAAGTTTGAAAGTGAGAGTTTTTCCCCATGGGGTGTGTTCAGTGGCAGATGTTAGTTCTGTTTCTAGTGCTCGAAATCCCCCCTTAAGCTCTGTTACCTTCTGGGTCAGTTCTTTTGGATGAAAGAATTACCCTTGAAGAAACGCGACTAGGCTTTGAAGATTGCTCTCCTGGACCCGTGGCCCCACCAGCCACCTCACAAGTCCCCAGGAGAATCAAGTACATTTTCTCTGAAGTTTCTGGTTTCTAACTAGCATTGTGGAGTGCGAGATTCTCCAGTCAGATCAGGAGGGCAATGATGATTTTCTTCTCTGACCTCACAGGAGACCCAGCAGTGGGCAAGACCGCCCTGGCGCAGATCTTCCGCAGCGACGGGGCCCATTTCCAGAAGAACTACACCCTGGTGAGATGTGGGAGTCGTGGGCTGGCCGAGGCTTAAAGAGCAGCGGTCGTCCCCTAACCCTGAGGGAGTGACTTTCCAGAATTTCTTAAGAAGCCCTAAGAGAGCATGGCCACATGGAGAGCATTTTTCCACAAGCCACAGGGCACAAGGCTGTCTGTGGAACAGACTGGCTGGCTGGTGGTCGGCTTGGTCCCCATGTACCACTCCTTGTGGGCAGGGAGCTGGACGAGGCTAGTCGGTCCTGTCTGACTTCACCAACAACAAATCCAGAACATAGTGCCTGGACCTTCTGGGCATCGGGTGTTCGTTGTGTCCTGCAACACGCTTCTTGGGACCCTCTGACGTGCACACTCTCGGTTTTCCCCCCGCAGACGACAGGAGTGGACTTGGTGGTGAAGACGGTGCCAGTTTCTGACACGGGGGACAGTGTGGTAAGTGGTGCCCTTGACCCCGGAGAGCTCAGTGCTCCTCCAGCTGGGCCCAGAGTCTCCGTGGTCAGTGTCATCCTCCCTAAGAGGGATGCGATGCAAGAATTTGGCCTAGGCTTTTCTGAGCACTTGGGAAGCGTCGCTGACCCAGGCCGAAGAAGAGGGAGGAGGAAGACAGGGATAGGGGCCCTGTGCTCACAGAACTGGCGTAGTATCAGTGTTCTTAACCCGGGTCCCTTTTTTGGAATCCATAACTCTGGAAATTGAATTGCAAGGCATTACATTTGTAGTACTGTCCTGGAGAGAAGGTTGAAGAATCACCACCTTCTTAAAGAGGTCCATGAGAGAAAACACAAGTTTAAGTACCCCTGATGCAGGCAGAAATGAGCGCAGGTAACAGCACTGACCTGCAGACAGCGGGTGCCGCGGTCAGAAGCCAGCCAGGAGGCATCCAGTGCCCAGGGGAGCTGAAGGGGGGGGAGACTTCGCAGAGCAGCAACATCGGGGAGGGGCCCTCGCATGGGCTGGCCGAAGTTGGGTCGAGGGGCAGGAAGGGTCCCCTCCACCATCAGGGCAGGATGGCAGGCTGTCCTACTTTAAACGCCTTCTCCAGGCCTACTCAGTGACCTGCTTTAAAAAGAATTGTTTTAAGATTTGAAAATCAATTTGGTTAACAAAGTGCAGAATGACCTTTTGGAAACCAGAGCACTTGTCAGCCTGTTTAGCATTCTGTTCTGCCAGGTGGGAAGTCAGCTTGTTCCTGGTATTTTTGCACTCGGGGTTAGGAGAGGTAAGCTGCCGCACAGAGAAAGTGCTAGTTGGTGTGGGGAACCATTGCGCTGCCTGTCTCTGGCTCTCGAGATCGTTCCTTTCCCCCATCATCTTCCCCGAGCCTCGGGGAAGAGAGAGAGGCTCTGTGGAAATGGGTATATCTCACCCCAAGACAGGTCTGCAGGGAGCCGAGTGTCGCCTCGGGGACTCGCAGCCAGCGATTTCCCTACATGTAGACTTTCTCGGGACATGCCTTTCTGGTTCTAGGAACTCTTCATTTTTGACTCTGCCGGCAAGGAGCTGTTTTCTGAAATGCTGGATAAACTGGCAAGTAGCGTGCGATCTTTTTCCTAACCACCACCTTCCACCACAAAGTTTCCCCTTTCGATGCTCTCCCAGAAATGTCACTGCAGTCTGGCTGCCAAGAGAAGCTACCATGGCTGAATTCTTTCAGGGGCAGTCCTCCCAGCCTTGGGACTCACGGCCCCTTGGCCAGGAGGACTGGCTCGTGCACGTGATTCCCCTCCCCCCAGCTCTGGAATGGCCAGGTTCCAAATGTGCCCGAGCTGTGTGACTCAGTCCCCGCAGCGCTCTGGGCCCCCCTTCTTTCACCAGCTCCCTCCTGATGGTGCACAGTCAGCACTCCCCAACCTCCTAGGACTGAAGCAAACATTTCCTTCCCCTCTAGGGGGCACCCTGGAAGCCCCATAGCAAGGCTCACCTTCCCCTCCCACCTCCTGGGCCCAGCCTGGGGTTTGCTCTGGGACCTGCACGTGCGGCCGCCCCAGGCTTCTCTGGCCCACCCAGCCATCCTCACAGGATCCAGCTTGCTGTTCCTTCCAAGGTAACAGTTCCGCTAATCTGGGCCAGTGAGCTAATTAGAAGGTTTGAGCTCTCCAGAGCCCTCCCCTGCCTTTCCAAGAACGGCTACATTTTAATAGAAACCCTTTTCTGCCCCTTTTTTGTTGTCTAAGAGAAATAGATGTAATGACGGTCATTTCTCATGGGCTTGGCTTCACGCATCCATCTGTGATGCTTACAACGTACCCGCTGTGTGCATGGCCCCTCACTGGGCAAGGCCCTACCGGGCAGAAGGGTGTGTCTGGGCAAGCCAGAGCAGTACCGATCAGCCCACCCCCTGCTTCCAGCCAGCCCTGACGCTGGGTTCCTGCTCTGGCTCCAGCTCGATCCCAGGCCTCTCCTGGGTCCTCTCACTGAAGCCTAGAGGGAGGAGGTGTCCCCTGCATGCACAAAGGAGAGGTCATTGTGGTTCTAGCAAGAGTTCTTGAGTTAGTCTGCAGAGTGAAGCTGTGTGTGTGTGGTGGGGGGCGGTGTTCATCAGTTCGGTCAAAGTGGCAGCATAACCTTGGGGTACAGTGAGCCCTCCAGAGCCAATCCTAGACCAGCCTTCCAAGGACAACTGGAGGGAAAAGGATTCCTCCCCACACTGTGGGAGGTTACTGACACACCAGAAATAAACCAGGCTGTAATTGTGCAGGATGGGGGTTCCCAGAGACTGGGGCATGGCAAGAGCCTCGTACACTGGGACAAGCATCACAGCCTCTGAGCAGGGCCGTCCTGTGGCCTTGTGCCATGTAGCAGGATGTCCCAGGACCCTGAGCAGCCCCTGAAGGCCACAGCCCCTGAGAGCAGAGCCCTGCTTCTTAATTGGGACAGCGAGCCCTGTCCAGTTGTCGGTCTGGTTTGGATTAGGGCTGATACACTGCAGGAGAAGCAGAAAGTGCTCTTTGCATTTTGAAAAGCCAGCCCTTATTAAGAAGATGCCAGCAAACAAGCTTCCAGGGGCTGGCTAATGGAAGAAAGGATGCTCTTTTAGGCCTGCAAAGCAGAAAAACATAATAACTGGCATACGAGTGGGCCCTCGAGAGGAATGCGACAGAATGAATGAATGAAACCAGTGGCAGGCAAAAGCATTTCTGGGTAGACAAAGCCTCAGTCCTACCCGTTTTTAAAGCATATCTGATCTGGGCAAGTCAGTTACCCTCTCCAAGCTCAGTAGGGATATTGAGACCAGCCCTGCAAAGTTGGGAGGTTTCTCAGCCACGCACAGCACACTGCCCAGCCGGCAGCCTGGCGCAGAGGTGAGCCCCTGCCTTCGCCTTCAGCCCAGCCCTCCCGTTGGTGCCTGTGGGTGAACAGGTTCCTGACTCCCATCCCCATTATAGTTTTTCATCCCCCCCCCTCGCTTCCCTCGGAAGGCCAGCCTAGAAATCGCTTTCACTGTTACTGATGTGCTCGTCCTGTCCCCCTGGCACAGTGGGAGAGTCCCAACGTCTTGTGTCTCGTCTATGACGTGACCAACGAGCAGTCCTTCACCAACTGTAGCAAGTGGCTGGAGAAGGCTCGGTCACAGATTCCAGGCACCTCCCTCCCAGGTAGGAGCTGCTGTCGGCTGTGGGACTTCCAGCACCTCTGCCCTCAAGTTCACGAGCTCAAGGTCGTTGCAGAGGTGGCTACGGGTAGAAAAGAGGGTGCGGTGTCCCCGGCTTAGAGTATTGTGGCTTGCACTGTACAGTGACTCTGCCTCTTAGCAGCCCCGGAAACCTCAGTGAGTTACCGCACACACCTCTGTGAGTCTGTAAAATGGGCACGATGATGCCCGCCCCCCCCTCCACCCTGCCGCAGGGGCGTGGAGAGGAGACTCAAGAATAATATGGGGAGGGTGCTGTGATATGAATGAGTTTTTATTTCTGAAAGCTAGCCCCGGGGATGAATTCCTCATTTTCTCCTGTATGTGGGGCGCAAGTAAACATTCAAGTCCTATTGTCACTTCTGAATGCTTTAAATCAGTTTATTTTTCATCCCTATGTGAGATCAACAAATTCCCCTCATTAGAGACCAGGGAAAGCGATCTCCAGAGACGAGCTCAGAAATTAGCTGCAGCTGATGCAGCTGGGAACGGCTCTAAATTACCTCTGAGTCCCTGACTCTGAGCCCAGTCCTTAGATTAGTATTAATGACCATTTTTAACGTTTGCTCCATGTGCTAGGAATTATCGCAAATGCTCACATAAATTTGGCCCTCGCCTTGCAGCCTGAAGGAGACAGGGCGGACAGATCTGCGTGAAATCTGGAAAAAGGGCCGAGCAAAAGCTGCATGTGAAAAGCAAAGCCCGCCAGGGTGGGGGTAGGGGGGCAGCCCTGGAGCCTCTCCCTCTCTCTCCCCCCGACCCCCCATGCTCAGCACCTCGAATCGGGCGGCCTCTCCCCGACAATGTTTTATACCCCTCAGAATTAGCATGCTTGCCCTTTTATCTCTCCAGCAATCCTCCCAGGCTGCCACAGTTAAATGCGATGCTCTGGTTGTTTCTTTCGAGTAGGTGTGCTAGTGGGGAACAAGACAGACCTGGCCGGCAGACGAGCGGTGGATTCAGCTCAGGCCCAGGCATGGGCCCTGGGCCAAGGCCTGGAATATTTTGAAACATCCGTGGTAAGTAGCTCTGCTCACTCCGGAGCCAAGTCTGGAGTGGGCCTCTGCTGGAAGTGGTCTTTCACATGACCTCACGGGCATCGAGTAGTTCTCCCACCATATGCAGAGTCTCATTTGGAACTGACGTGCACATTCTTAGTCCAAGATGCTTCTCGATATAGCAGAGTCACTCGCGTACTTACAGTAAAGCAGATCAGCCGGCCAGCGCCGACATAGTTGTATCTCAATTAATGAGAAATACAAGTGCATCGGGTTCGACCGTCGCGACCCTTGGCATTCGCATGAGATAGGGTGGGTTACGGTGCTCACGGGTCCCCCAGGCAGTCCCGTGACCCTGGGCGCTGGTCCCATAATTCCCGTTTCCGTGTTGAGAAGGTGAAGTGACTTGCCCAGGGTCATATGACCAGTGAAGAGTTGAGCCAGGGAGTATGATCCCTGGCTCCCTGTCCCACCTTGCCACAGCCCCAGGGTGATGCCAGGCCACAGAGTACCCTCCTTAGAGTCAGCAGGAGCCCTTGGGAAAGGGGACAGCCAGCGGGATTTGCTGCCACCCTCGGTGCGCTGTCTCACGACTCTGGCTGTCCAGCCCTGGGGAGCCCCCTTCCTCTGCTCGAGACCTTTTAGGTCCCAGCCTCCCCGCAGCCAGGTGCAGGCGTGCGACCCCATCTGCACCAATCAGACACGCTCGTATCAGACTTTCCAGAAGGGAGTAAAGTGACAAGCTGCCCCCTGCAGGAGCAACCCAGAAGCATCCACTGGAGCCCCAGGGGCCAGCGTGCTGGCTGCAGTGCCCCTCCCCGGGGTTGCTGGGGAGACTTGCCGGCCAGAAACACCCATGGTTGTCACTCGGACCTCACTCCCGGCCTTGTGTCCCCCCGCCCCCCGGGCCTGATTCTTTGACCCTCCGAAAGAGTCAGTGGGCTAGTTAAGAAATAGCCTGCAGGTGGTTTTCTACTCAAGCTGCAGACATTTCCATTGTTGCATTTACAAAACTTGGCAAATGTTGCTGTTCAATTGCCGTGTGGATGTGAACTTTTGAAATCCCCCAAAGTGGAGTGTTTTCTTGGGACAGTATAGCAGGTAGAGGCCAACACTCTGGCGGCTGAGGGTGAGGCGCAGAACTAGTTGTGGGACCCTTAGCGTGTTCATCAACATGCTGGGTGCCTCAGCCTCCTCACCTGTAAAATGGGAATAAGAAAATACATTCCTCATCGAGTGAGAAATGTGAGAATTCAGTCAGAGGATAAATGGGAAAACATCAGCCCAAAGTCTGGTACATAGTGAACAATAAATGTTTGCTTTTGACGTATGACCATTCCCCCAGCAATTTTCTTTATACTATTGTTACTTAAACGTTTTGTATTCATAGATTATACAAAGAGAGATGTCCCTCTTGCCTCCAGCCCGATGATCACAAATGCTAAACTAGCGAAGTTCACGGTTATGGGACAGACGGCTTCTCATCTTGTAACGCGGCGCGCCTTTGAGCCAAGCGTATGCTGTGCTACCCACATCAAGCCGTATTTTACTACTCCCTCTGCCTCCATTCACATTTGTGAAATTGCCTCCCCACCCCAGTACCCCATGGTCCCCAGAACTCTTGATAGAACTCAAAAATTAACGCCCACCCCCAACACATTAGTCATCACAGGCCCCTCGGCTGCGCGCTTCAATTCTGTGTAGGTGTTTGTTGCTACGCTAGTAAATTACGCTGGAGGAGGCTGCAGTTAAGCACTTGGTATTAACTGTGTAAGTTAACTAGTCCCCCGAGTTGATGCTAACAGAAGCACCACTGGCAGCTTGGTTAAGAAAGCTGTAATGAAAAAGGAAATATAACCCAACGCTGCCTGAGACGCAGCCAAGCCTTGACACCTAGCGCCCCGCTCTGCCCTCCTGACTACGCGGCGGCCGCGGTCCTGCGGACCAGGAGGGGCCCACGTGGTCATCTGACCTTCTCCCTTCGCTCTTCATTCCATCTCCAGAACTCACTCGTCTTAAAACTGGAACTTGGCACCCTTCGACGCACCTTCACCCGTGTCCCCCACCACCCCTGGCAACCATCAGTCTGCTTTGTGTTTCTAGGATTAGGGTGTTTTTAGGTTCCACGTATAAGTGAGAATATGCGGTATATTTCTTTCTCTGTCTGCCTTGTCTCACCAAGGATGACGACCTCAGGCGGCATCGACATTGTCACAAATGGCCGGATTGCCCTACTTTTCGTGGCTGAATACTAGTCCATCATGTCCATGATGCATACCAACCACCATGTCTTTAATTCATCCGTTGATGGACACTTCGGTTGGTCCTGTGTCTTGGCTATTGCAAATAATGCTGCAGTGAATGTGGGGGTGCGGGTATCTCTTCAAGGTAGTGATTTCATTTCCTTTGGCTGTTTACCCAGATGTGGAATTGCTAGATTATATCATAGCTCTGTTTTTAACATTGTGAGGCACCTCCATATGGTTTTCCACAGCAGCTGCACCAGCTTGCATTCCCACCAACAGTGCACAAAGGTTTCTTTTTCTACACATCCTCGCGGACATTTATCATCTCTTGTCCTTGGGGTAATAGACGTCCTAACAGGTGTGGGGTGATAGCTCATTGTGGTTTGGATTTGCATTTCCCTGCTGATGAGTGGTGTCGAGCACCTTTTCATGGGCCTGGTGGCCGCCTGAATATCCGTTTTGGAAAAATGTCTATTCGCTCCTCTGCCCATTCTTTAAATCGGATTATCGATGTTTTTGCTGTGGAGTTTCCCAAGTTCTTTACATATTTGGAATATTAACCCCTTCTCAGATGTGGGGTTTGCAGATATTTTCTCCCATTCCGTAGGTTGCCTTTTCATTTTGTTGAAGGTTTCTTTCATTGTGCAGAAGCCTTTTAGTTTGATGTAGTCCCATTTATTGATTTTTGCTTCTGTTGCTTGTGCTTTTTGCTGTTATATCCATAAAATCATTGCCAAGTTCCATGTCCAAGAGCTTTTTCCCAATGTTTTCTTCTAGGAGTTTTATGGTTTCAGGTCTTAAGTTCAAATCTTGAATCCATTCTGAGTTAATTTTTATGAATGGTATAAAATAGGGGTCCAGTTTCATTCTCGTGCATATGAATCTCCGGTTTTCCCAACATCATTTATTAAAGAGGTTAGCTTTTCTCCATTGAGTATTCTTGGCTCCCTTGTCAAATACTAGTTGCCCATGTAGGCAGGGGTTTATTTCTAGGATCTCAATTCTGTTCCATTGGCTTTTGTGTCTGTTTTTGTACCAGGACCATTCTGTTTTGATGACTATGACTTTATAATATAGTTTGAAATCAGGATGTGTGATGCCTCCAACTTTGTTCTTCTTTCTCAGGATTGCTTTGGCTATTTGGCGGTTTTTGTAGATCCTCTTGGACTTTTTTAAAGATTTTATTTATTTATTTTAGAGAGAGAGAGAGAGCGTGAGTGGGGGGGAAGAGGAAGAGAGAGAATCCCAAGCAGACTCTACACTGAGCGCAGAGCCCAATGTGGGGCCTCGATCCCTGAGATCATGACCTGAGCCAAAATCAGGAGTGAGACATTTAACTGACTGAGCCACCCAGGCGCCCCCCCTCTTGGACTTTCTAATACCCCTTGATATTTGACATTTTCAGACCAAAAAATTAAAAAACATTTTTTAAGCATGTTAAAAAAAAGTTTATTACTGTAGGACAGTATTAAACACAAGCAAGTTCAAGAAGGATCTGTGGGGAGGACTCCTCTTGCAGCAGGGTGAGGGAAGGGAACTGACCTTTGTTGAGTGCCTACTGTGTGCTACATATCTGCAGACATTATCTGCTGAAGCTTCTAGCAGCCCTACAAGACAGCCAGTGCTATCCCTGTCCTACAGATGACGAGCAGACTCAGAAAGGATGTGTGGCTCTCTCTGGTTGCCCAGCCTGTGAGCAGCCAAACCAGGAATAGAAAGCTGGTCTAAGCTTGAGAACCTTCTAGAAGTAGCTCTGGCCTCCCACAGAACCTACTTTGGGACTCTCAGGGGCAGAATTCTAGGCCAGATTGAGCGCTAGTCTGAGAGCCTGTTCTAAGGATCTTTTCACACAAAGCAAACGTACTCTATAGTATGTCAGTGAGATTATGATTAGTCATTTAACAAAAGGATTGCTGTCATTGGCAAACTCTCTTAATGCATTCAGAAAATGATTCCGTTTACATCTGCTACTTCAGGAGTGCTCCATGGCATATATAAAGGCTCATCTCCACTGAATTCTTTACTTTTTATGTTGTGTTCTCCCCAGATCTTGCTTTCAGGAGCTTTCAAATTCATTTGGAAATCCTCGTGTGTGTCCTATGCAGGCCTCATTCTCTGTCTACTCATTACTTAACTATGCTTTCAACTGGTGTAACATTCTTTTTTAGAGAGGGAGGAGGGGAAGGGGCAGAGGGAGAGGGAGAGAATCTTAAGCCGGCTCCATGCCCAGCGCAGAGCCTGACACAGGGCTCGATCCCACAACACTGAGATCATGACCTGAGCGGAAATCAAGAGATGCCCAACCGACTGAGCCACCCAGGCGCCCCCAGGGTAACATTTTACTATTGACATTGGCGTTGCCTGGGACATTATGTTCTGTACGACCAAATGTGCCTTGCAGATGTGACTGAGTTAGTTCTCTTCTGTCCGACTGGGGAGCTGATGGTCCCCGGCAGTCGTGCACTTAGTGCACGTGCTCGTCTCGCTACAAACGGTCCCCTCGTTCCTCAGCAGCGCCACCTCTGTTTCTGCTCTTGGCTAACTTGTCCCGTTTCCTCTTGGGATTTCCCTTGTGAGAAAGTCCAGGTAACGTTCTCCATGAGAACCGGTTTCCGTCGTGTGTTTCTGTCTCCCCGGCTGGCAGGGTGGAAAGGCTGCTCTTCTCCAGTTGGGGAACTCAAATCCTAGGCTGGGCTCTGTGCACCCCAGCTGCGCCACTGCACCCCTGGGCCGCAGGCTGCTCACCTGCAAAGCGAGGGCACTGAGCTCGATGACTTCAGGGCATTCTGCAGTTTGGAAATCCTTCCCTTTCGTTGGGGTATATTATTGCCTCTTGTCAAGGCTGCCCTTTTGCCAGCTCCCAAGGATTGTCTGAAGATGGCTTCTTGTGCGTGCACAGCTTGAGCCTCTGTGCTCAAAGTAGCAGGTCCTTTCTTCTGCCAACTTACTTAAAAAAAAAAAAAAAAATACACACGTGCACACAGAGAGTGAGAGAACACTAGCTGAGCTGAGAGGCTACCATTTTCCTTCCCCTAGAAGCTCCCCTAGAGCTTGGCCATGCTCACCCTGGGGGGCCGGTTCTTCCCACCCCGTAGAGAACATCTAGGGCCAGTTCCAGAACTTGTCTAATCTCTCAGAGAATAGGAAGTCCTTTGGGCACCTTTAGTCACAAAATACTCATCTCAGTTATGAAGATGCACCGTGCTGGGTGCCTGAAAACTCACCACTTCCAGTTAGCGCCCCCTCCCACACCTGCTGTGGGAGGCAGGGCCAGGCTGGCGGTCCTTGGTCCTGCACCTGCCCCTCCCCGCCCAGCCCGCCGCCTGCGGGAGAGGGAGCTCAGGGGGAAGCTCAGGGAAGCTGGGCCGGGACCCGCCACAGCCCCTCTGGACTTGCCAGGTGTCTCAAGCTGGCGCCCTGGGAGCGCTTCCATGATGCCCCCTCCCTGGCCCATTGGCAGAACCTTCCCCTGCAGCTCACAGGTCACCCCTCCTCACCCCTCCTGCAGCCTTGATTCCTGGCCCTCGGTTCTGGCTGGGGCCCATCCCCCCTCCTGGAGCCCGTCCCTGCGGAGTCCCTTTAGGGCAGCTCCAGGCTGGCTCTCCTGGCTCAGCCATCAACACCGCCGGCCCCGGGCCAACCTCGCTGGTTCCCCAGGCCTGGCTCCAGCACTGGCCTGAGCCCCTGGGCCTCGGGTTTTTCTTGGAGCCGCCCATGAGCTCGAGGTGAGGGAGAGGCTCCCCAGGCAGGGGTCTGTGCCACGGCTCTGCCCAACTCGAGGTCAGGGTGGGCCCATCCCATCTGGCCCTCCCTCCAGAGTGGGGCGGGGGGAGTCCTTGCCATCTGTTATTTTGCATTGGCCTTTAAGGGCCCCAGTGAAAACTAAGCCGAGAAGAGTCTCACTGTAACATCCCATCACACGTGGGGCGAGCGTGGCTGAAAGCCCAGGCTCTGTAGAAACATCCAGGTGCAGACCCAGCTCCACCACTGACAGGCGTGAGGCTTTTGGCAAGTTACTTAACCTGTCCATGTCTCAGTTTCCTCGTACCGAGGGCGCGGTAGTAGCCAGCCGCACTGGTGTGCGGGCCAAAGGAGGCCAAGCGTGTGTGGCCCCTGACGTGAGGGGAGCGTGAGTCCTGATGAGGCGGTAACACCACGGGCTTCTTCACCTTGCCTCTACAGAAGGAGATGGAAAACTACGAAGCCCCCTTCTACTGCCTGGCCAAGCAGTTTCACCACCTGTACCGGGAGAAGGTGGAGGTTTTCCAGGCGCTGCTGTGAGGACCTGGGGCGGGCAGTGCCCCACGACGGCACAGCGCCACTGGGGAGCTGGCGGGGACTCGGGCTCCTCGGGGAGGAGAGAAGCTGGAACTGCCTCGACGACTTCCAATGTATCCTGACAGCTTTAAATAAAATGAGAAGATGTAGGAGCCGCCAGTGCTTCCGTTCTTGGCCGTGGCGGCCCTGGTTCCGTCTTGCCCCTTGGCTGCCAGTTCCAGGGCGGTGCTCAGAACCTTGGTGACCCGGCACCTGCGGGGGCCGCCCCCTGTCAGAGCGGGTGGTCCTGCCGTCCCCGAAGGGCCTGCCCCGACAGTGCGGCCCACGGTGGGATGCTCGGCTCGGAACTGGCCCCACAGCTGAGGGGCCCACAGCTCTGCCTCCTCCGGACGGATTCGGCTTTGCTGCCTGTTCTGCTGTCCCATGCGGTGGCCCCAGTCACTGACCAAACAGTGCCCTCTGCTGGCCCCCTCGGGGCCTCCTCCAGAGTACGGCGCCCAGCCCCTCCCAGCGGCCGGGAGCCCTGAGTGCCCAGGGAGCCGAGAACCAGGCCACTTTCCTTTAATGACCCGCCTCTCGGAGCCGGGCGGCAGTCATGATTCTTAGGGCTAAGCTTGACTCTTCCCGTCCCCTGCCTGCTGCCAGATTAATCTTCCTAAAACCTCACTTTCATCGTTTCACTCCCCTGATGAAAGACCCACGGAGGTTCCTCAGTGCCTTCTACATCAGGGCTGTGCGCCGCGGTCTGCCACGAAAGGCCCGCCGGTCACCGTTGCTGGGGGCCTCAGCTTCTTTCGGCCCCGGTGCCCCCAAGGGCTTCCCCCTCGCCCACTGTCAGGTATCCCCCCCTCCCGTTTCGTGGGGGCGGGGGGCTTCGTGCAGAGCATCAGCTTCGGGGGTGGACAGACCTGGGTCTGTCCCAATGATAGTGATGATGATGATGATGACGATTACTCTGGGTGGTTTACGACCTGCCGTGTCTCTACCTGAACTAAGCACATGACCTATATGAGCTGACTCAAGCCTTACAATGTAGTCGGGTTTTTTTTGTTTTTGTTTTTTTTAATTTTCTTACAATGTAGTCTTACCATCCGCTTCTACAAACGAGGGACCGGAGTCAGAGAATCCAGTAACTGAGCTAAGGGGTGGCAGAGCCAGGATCAAGGACACCAGAGCCCTGTGCACAGCTGCCGCCCCTTCGGGCCTCACCCCGCCCCCCCCCCCCCCCCCCCCGCCAAGCTTGGCCTGGCCTGGAGCAGGTGGAGGTCTTTCCGTCTGCGAAGGGTGATGGCTACCCTTGAGGCCACCATGAGAAGTAAGCTAACCGGTGAAAGGCATCGGTGGGGGCACATGGCATCACCCCGTCAGGCCCTGTCCAGCCCTTTGCTCTTCTGGTCATTTCTCTACGTGAGCTCACAGTAGCCAGCAGTCTTCCTGCTGAGTCATCCTTTTGGACAGTGGTTCCCGAGGACCTACAGTGTGTCAGGCATTTCTCTAGGCGCCAGCAGTGCTGATCTCGTGTCACGTGGCCCGCAAGGGAAACCTACAAAAAACAACCAAGAAGCCACGGAGGGGGCATTTCCAGCTGCCCCAGAATTGGTTACTGGGACCCACCACTGTGGACAAAGAGATGCTAAGAGCTCCCAAAAGGCTGGGGCCAGACACCTTCCCTGGGGCAGAATTGGCCCTGCTGCCAGGAACCAGCCCCCGGGCCCCTGTGGTCCTCGCCCACCCACCCACCCCCCCCGCCTTTGTATAAGAAAGCTGAGCAGTCCAGAGGAGGGAGTGCAGGGAGATGGGCTGTTGGTGAGTGGGTGCCACCCTAGCTCCTGCCCCACCCCCAGAGAACGCTCCTGAGGCCAAGGGCACTGCCAACAAGAGGCTGGCGCCTCGCTCCCCTGCTGGGTGCCCGCTGAGTGCAGGAGCCTTGTGCCGGCTGCAGGCTCGGGGTGGTGAGGGTGCCCTCGGGGGAGCTCAGCATGCATGCCCTGGAGTTGTACCTGCTCCAGGGGGACCTGGTGGGGAGAAGCCTGTGTCACCGGCAGGAAGAGCAGGTGCCCCCAACTCAGTTGTGCAAGACCCCCAGAGGGCTCATATAAGGACCCACATAGAGCAGAGTCAGTGGGCCCCCCAAACGGATCATGGGCAAAGGGAGCTGCTTCCCACCTGGAAAAGGTTGGGGCCTATTCTGCTGGCAGTGCTGAAGTGGGGGTTATGCCCCAAAATGACCAGACACCCATCTCCACAGAGACAGCGGCAGATAGAAGCAGACCCAGAGAGGCGTGCGAGGAAACGGAAGTAGCCCACCCCTGACCCCTCTGCTCCGAGGCACCCCAGAGAGAGGAGAAGACAAAGCCCTTGCTCCCCGTTCCTGCCCCTTCTGCAGAGGAGCTCTGAGCCAGGATGGGGTTTTGAACTGGCCTGGTCTGAGTTCTAATGAGCAAGAGCACCTGCACTGTGTGGGATCTCGCTGTCATGAAGACCCAGGGGGAAGGGGGGCTCAACGGAGTGGGACAGAATAAAGCAGTTAGGGAAAGTAAGGTGATCGAGATTCTCCAATAAACGTACTATGATCAAATAAATGATCGAGATCATTTCAGACCCTGCTAAGAGCTATGCAGATAATAAAGCAGAGCTGTGATGGGTGCTGGGGTAACTGGGTTGGGTGGGCAGGAAGGACTCTAAGGAAAAGTGACATTTGAGCTAGGGCCCCACAGCCATGTGACTCCCTGAGGGATGAGCCATCAGGCAGCAAGGACAGCAAATGCAAAGGCCCTGAGGTGTGAACTAGCTCAGAGTGTCCAGGAGGTGGAGTCTGGTGTGTGCTGGGAAGAGCAGAAGGAAGTGAAGCAGACAGAGACGATTTCTGGAAGGAATTTGGATTTTACTGCAAAGACAACAGGGAGCCAATAAAACAGTGTAGCTTTTGTGGACTCAGTGCCCCCACACTATTTGGGGAATCTAGTAAGTGGTTTTTAATATCTTCACTTGCCTGGAGACCCCATTCTCAGTGAGCAGACATTTATGAAACGAACGCCAGATCTGCAGATGTATTCATCCGACATTTGCTGAACACCTACTACGTGTCGGTCCCTTTTCTAGGAATGGGGATTTGTCACTGAGTAAAACAAAAATCCCTCCCCTCCCTCTAGCAGAGTGAGAGAGAGAGGTCCAGTTAAGCGGGGAAAGTAACCATCCAACAGATGGTGATAGAACAGGAGAGCGCAGAGGGGGTGCTGGGGAAGGGGGAGTGGCAATATGAATTAGGGGGTCAGGAGAGACCTTCCTGAGGTGACATTTCAGCAAGGTTTGAGAGCAGAATGATTGGCACCCACTAGTTCGTGCACTGGCCCCTCAGAGACAAAATGTGACGGTGGTGGCCCATCTCCCACTTTCTGTCCCCGGCACACAGCACTGGGACTCAAGATGAGCACAGCCCATGTGTATGGACTCGGGGCAGCAGGGCGGGGGCGGGGGGGTGGGGGAGGGAATGCCACGCCAAATGGGACCCTGTCTTAGAATCACCTACAATCCAGAGAGGAGAAAGCTGAGCAACACTTGACTACTAAACCCCAGTGAAACCCAAAAAGCACCCCAGCCAGGGTCTCCCACCTGCATAGGAGTCAGGTGCTCCCCCATCTCCTTTAGGACTGTAGGGGAAGGTTCTCACTGCCCTCCATGGCAGAGAAGCCTTCCTTCTCTGAGGAGTGGCTTGAGGCCGGGGCCTGGCCTCAGCGTTTGTTCCCTGGTTGTACGAAGCTGAATGTCCCTGCTGCTTGCTGACATGGCTGGGATTCACCCACCAAGAGGGCAGGGATGCACAGGCTAGTGGGAGGGCGGGAATTCAAGGGCGGGTAGAGTTTTGGAGCTAGTGTCCAGAAACATAAACATGATGTGACCGTGACCCTCAGGTACTTTTCCTGCTGAGTCCTTTGCAGGGGTCCCACCATGGAAGGTTTCCTCGTTTCTATGTGGATGGTGTGGGAGGCAGCCCCCAGGCAGGTGGTCCCCAGATGCATTGGCTTGCCATGACGCTTCTGCCCTGAGAGCCAGCCCTGCAGTTTTCCAGGCTGAGACAGGTGCTTTGGTTAGACCATCTTCTGCAAGGGCTCAGGGCCAAGAGGTAACCTCCTGCAGTCAGTATCTATGTAAAAACGCATTCATTTGGGTGCTTAAATGTTATGTTTTTAAAAAAGAGAATATTGGAAAAATGTCTTGTCCCAAACTGGGGTGGCAGTAAGCACAGATTCAAGGGAGCCCAGGATGGAAACAGTATTCTTCTAACCTAAATCTGTGGGACACGTTTTGCCCATCCTGGAGATGTAGAGAAAAGCCTTCGCTTTTGCCCTTGCCGGCCCCATTCCCGTCTGTGTTGGTGCAGGGCCGGCTATATGCTGGAGATAACTGAGGTTGTGCCCTCGAGGAGCTCAGGTCTGGTGCGCAGGGAGGGTTTCCAGGGACCTTACAGGGAAATACCTGATGCTAGCTGGGGAAGAGCGTACCAGACAAAGGGAAGAGCATAAGCAAAGGCCCTGAGGCGCAAAGCTGGAGCCCCTCTTAGAAACTGTGCATGCAGGGTAAGGCAAGGAGTAAGGGGTGCCCAGCAGGTGACAGCTGGGGAGAAGGACCAACAAGAGCATGGAGCGTGGAGATCAGGTAAGAGACATCACAGTACTCTGGCTGAGAACTGATGGGGTGAGGTGGAGACCGGGCTTTGTCCATTTCCAACATTAGCAAAAACTTGGGAAACGTATTTTCAGCTCAACTTAGAGTGTTGTCTAAACCCCCTCCTTTCTTCAGAGCACCAATTGGTTTTTTTTCTAATGGGTTATCCTTTATTTACTTTAGAGACAGAGAAAACAGAGAGTGACTTCTTTGAGTTGCAAATTGTTAGTGACGGAGCCCGGATTAAGATCTCGGGCTCGCCAGCCCTCTGTGGATTTTATGATATTTATGTATACAATGCCCGTTCACTCTTCCACTCTGCCAAGTAAGCCAAGCTGATAAATATGAAGAGGATAAGAGCGGAGCGCTTGTTTCCCTCCTAAAAAGGCAAGAAGCCTGGGAAGGCTCATTGGGAGAAAATATCAAAGGGGCAATGTTCAAGTTTCACCTGTGACGGGAGGGGGGGAACACAGGTTCTTGGCAAAGCCATTATG